GATCATACTCTTTTTGTGAAGAGGAGTGGACCTCTGGCAGTATACCTCATTGTGTATGTAGATGATATTGTTGTGACTGGTAATGATGTTTCAGGAATTCATGCTCTCAAATCTTTCCTCCACACAGAGTTTGAGATTAAAGACCTGGGGAATTGAGATACTTCCTTGTAATAGAAGTTGCTAGATCCAAGGATGGGATTCTTATCTCCCAAAGGAAGTATATTCTTGACTTGCTCTCTAAAACTGGGAAGATGGGTGCTAGACCAGTTGCTACTCCTATTGATATGAGTCATAAACTTTCTGCTTCAGATGGAACATTGTTAGAAGACAAAGGGGTCTTCCAGAGACTTCTTGGGAAACTCCTATACCTATGCACGACTCAGCCAGATATTGCATATGTTGTCAGTTGTATTAGCCAATTCATGCATGCTCCTTGAGACACTCATATGGCAGCAACAGAGCGAATTCTGTGTTATTTGAAGGGCTCTCCAGGAAAGGGAATTCTGTTTGCCAAGCATGGTCATGTGAAACTTGAAGCCTATACTGATGCTAAATGGGCTGGAAACATTGATGACAGAAGATCTACTTCTGGGTATTGCAGCTTGGTGGCTGGTAATGTTGTTTCTTGGAGAAGCAAGAAACAATCGATTGTTGCTCGATCTTCAACAGAAGTAGAATACAAGGCCATGGCACATGGAGTTTCTGAACTGTTATGGCTAAAATCATTGATGGAGGAACTTGGGGTTGAGCATGACAAGCCAATGATATTGTACTGTGATAATCAGGCTGCCATCAACATTGCTCACAACCCAGTGCAACATGATAGAACTAAGCATATTGAAGTTGATAGACACTTTATTCGAGAAAGGGTCTCTTCGGGTGAAGTGTGTCTTCCTTTCATCACATCTAAAGGACAGTTAGCAGAWTTTCTCACCAAGGGCATTCCCAAGGCAAAGATTCAGCATGACACTGGCAAGCTTGGCATGATTGACATCTATGCTCAGCTTGAGGGGGAGTGTAGAGAAGATGGGCCCAATGGCCCATAGGCTGTTATTATTTCTTACTGTTTATGTTCCTTTATGTAATGGACCTTATTCTGGGCCCATCCTCTTCTCTGTTATGTTCTTGTAATTTCTTGCCCAACCAAGGGCCCCCCCTTGTAATTATTCAAAACTAACTTAATGAAATAGTGTTAGGGTGTTAGAGGGAGAGTGAAGTTCGAACCTCTCATACTCTAACCCTCTTTGCTGCCATCTCCCTCTTCATCTTCTACTCAATAGAAGCAATCTTCTCTGCAGTTTTAATGTACAATTTTTGTGTGGAATCATTATTTCAGAGCTTTAAACCTGCAGTGGTATTGTCCTAGATAAGTGAAAGAGTTGTTAGAAGTTAGAAGAATGGCTTGTCTCAGGTATGTCCAGGAAAGGGAAGGTTTATTGAACAACTGTCCCAGCAGCAATTATATGGGCTTTCTGGCATGAGAGGAACAGCATAATCTTTGAACAGAAATCGAATTCTGAGCCAGGGGTGATGTTTTGGGCTCTTTAAATTTTAGTTTTCTATCAAGTTTACCTGCTTGTTTATAAAAATTCTAAACATATTAATACAATACCAGATTGTATTGTCCCCTAGGCTGAGAAGAAGTCTATATGACTTGGAAGCTGAAGGGGTACTGCAAATGCTCATGGAGTTAGGTCAAGCAGTCAAGCCCTCCCATCCCCTATGGAGAGAGACAGAAGTTGGTGGAGGATGGAAAGTTGAGGTTCTTCTCGGTGAAATCAATCATTCTACAGAGCAATTGAGTGTGCAGGTGGTGAACGTGTCAACTGGAAAAGGATTTGGAAATCATGCTGTCCCTCAAAGGTTGTTTTCTTTATGTGGATTGCCCTTCTTGACAGAATACTCACTGTAGATAACCTTTTGTCAACAGGAATGTGGATCAACAACAGTATTTGCCACCTCACTGGAATCAGTTGATCATCTCCTGATTCATTGCTCTTTCTCAACTGAAGTGTGAGACCATTTCCTGAAGCTGTTTAAGATGTAATGGGCTGCACCAGGTAGCATAAATGTCCTAAATTTCTAATTTCCATGTGGCCAAACTAAAGCCCTTGGTGCCTGGGGGAAATGGTTATGGGACATGGTGCCTATGGTAATCTGCTGGTTGATATGGAAAGAATGCAACAGCAGTCTTCAATCAAAAAAAAATCCACCATATGCCATCAAGCAAAAGATTTCACAACCGTGATTAAAAGATTGCAATCATAGTAATAAAGTAATACCACAATGCTAAGATCCTAACTCCATCCTCTACAAACTGAGAATCATACTTAAGATTTCAAAGAGACAATATCACTTACCCATGATGAAGCTTAGAAGGTAAGGGACAGTTATATGAAGTACGTCTGGTAAAGCCTCCAAAACTGGGAGCAATGGTTGAAGTTGTGATTTGCCAAATGACGTCGCTAAATGGGAAGACAAAAAGTATCACCAACTTGGAAGACCAATCACACGAGGTCAAGAAGAGGGAAAAGACTTAGGTTTTGCAGTAAAATGTTTAATCGCATTATACACTTACCTGGATTGACTAATACCAGTACTAAGTCAATAGTTGGGTTACGAGCAGCAACTGCAAGTGCTAGGCATCCTCCCAATGAATCCCCAACTAAATAAATTGGCTTATTTGGAGATAAAGCACTCTCAAGCCTCACAGCATCTTCAACAAATTTCACGAGTCCTGAACAGAAAAACAACTACTTTTTCTGTCAATAAATCCAAAAAACCACTTAACATAAATGGTACATTCTTAACACTAACTGATCAGGAAACTCATAAATGCGGATTATAAAGTACCAAATGTGATGTGGGGGAATTCATTATTTCAATTTGACATTTATGAACCTGCAGTTTTAAGCAGTTCAAAATAGGTTTCTTAACTAGCACTAGAATTTGGATTAATGGATGCCAGTTTGATCCATCAACATCTAACATAATATCAGCCCTCAGCAAGATCAAGGAAAAAAACCATGGGAGATATATCCCAAGAGATCTTTCATGAATATAGGGAGTTCAGAGATCAAGACCTTCAAAAGATGTGCGGTCATAAACAGGGATATGCAAGCATCTAACTTCAAAAACCCTGCAGTCAAAGAAATTATAGGTTAGGAATGTTCATGAAGAGTGTACCTTTAAAAGTGACCTAAACTTAGTGGTATATGTTAGTCCAAATACATAGTTATCCCTGAAAACATCACTGTTAATTTTTTTATTGGTATCATTATTGAAAATTTCCTGATATTCCATATTAATGGTTTCATGTTTTGAAATTGTTAACTCCGCTAGTGTGAGCATGTCTTACACCGCCAATCCCAAGCCCGGAAAAAAGGAGGAAGGTTATGTCAAATTTGAAGCCGGCACTAAAACTTTTTCCAAACCCTTATGAACATGGATCCTGATTTGTCTTTTCGTGCTCATGCTAAGGTGTTCTCCAAAAATGCCGTGTTGAACCCTAACCCAAGTGCAGTGTTAAGTGGGCAAGGGTATGCTAGGATGGTCCCTATAAGTGACTCACCATGGAAACACCCAGTTGTGGGCAAGGGTATGCTAGGATGGTTCCTGTAAGTGACTCACCATGGAAACACAGAGTTGTGGTGTCAAATAGGCAAAGGTTCCTACTTCCTTCTGATCGGGGGCAGGTAAAGAAGTTTGTCCAAGAACCACAAATTTGTTTAGCCACTTGGAATGTAGGAACATTAACATAAAAAACTATGGAATTAGTAGATACTATGAAGAAGAGAAGGATTAATATTGCATGCCTACAAGAAATTAACTGCAAGGGTAAAAAAGCTAAAGAAATTGATGGTTACAAATCATGGTATATGGGAGAGGTAAATAATAGAAATGGTGTAGTGATAATAGTAGATAAGGATTTGAAAAATGAAATTGTGAATATTAAGAAGTTGGGGATAGAATAATTTTAATTAGACTTGTTTTAGGCGAGGAAATCATTAACATAATTAATGCTTATGCATCTCAAGCGGGTTTAGAAGAAAACATTAAAAGACAATTTTGGGAAAACTTAAAAGGATTGATCCAAGAAATTCCAAATGAAGAGAAGATTTTTATAAGAGGAAACTTAAATGGGCATGTAGGGAAAAGAAGTGTAAAATATGATAATGGTGTATAGAGGATTTAGGTTTGGGGAGAGGAATGAACCAGGAGGTACAATATTAGATTTTGCAGTAACTTATCATGTGGCAATTTTAAACACCTTTTTCCAAAAGAATGATGAACACTTAATAACATTTAAAAGTGAACCAAATATAAACCAAATAGATGTTTTTCCTTACTAGAAGAACAGAGTGAATGGTGTCTAAAGATTGCAAAATTATCCCAGGAAAAAGCTCAACATAGATTAATGGTGGTAGATGTGCGCATTAGGAAATGAAAGAAAAATAGAGAAGAAAATAGCTGTCCCAGAATTAGGTGGGAAAACCTAAAAGGAGAAAAACTAACTTAATTTGAAAACAACTTGATAAATAGAAAGGTTCCCTCGGAGGTAGCTGCGAGGCTTGAGGAACCTTTCTCATTAAAGGAAATAAAGAGGTCTATAATGGGTATGAGTAGTGATATGCATTTTTTTTCATACTGACTAAGGAACAAAGGTGAGGTGAAAGGAAGAACGACGGGAAGAAAGGGCGATGGGCTTGTGGCTGCAGGATGGTGGAGGAGAATGCTGAAGGTTGAAGCCAATGAGTTTCTGCTTGAAGAGCTGAAAAACAAAGGAGGGACAAGCTTGAAGAATAGGGAAGGGAAGAAGGCCACAGTGATGTTGCAAGGTATGGAAGTGATTAAATGGTTCAAGGAGTATGTGAATGAAGCATGCCTCAAAGGTAAACAAACAAACTGGAAGGAATTGAGAACTCAAGAAGGGAAGAGGTATGTTGTAGAATGCAGAAGAAACAGTAAAGGGGGTTATTTAGCTCTTTCTGAATATTTCGGGAAAGGAAGGAGGCAACTAGTCTGCTTTCTTGAAAGTAGACAGGGACTTGGATGGAAGAAAATCAATGGAATACTGGAAGAGTTTATCCAACACCTGAAAACCTTGCGTCTGGACCTACTAAAGGAAAATGGTAAAACCAACAAACTTTCAACTGAAGACGAAGACCAGATCCAAGAGCTACTAGCCTTTGAACAGAACAGGCTGGTTGGCTATTCCAGGAGAGAAGAATGGGAAGATAAATATGTGGTTCAAGTTAAAAATCAGGTTAGCAACTGGAGGAGAGTTGCAGACCTGCTCGTATTACAGCTGAAGTTAAAAGGGACGTTTATTCTAACACCTTTTGAGAACAGTAAAGCGGTGCTTGATCTGACTGAAGATAAGTTAGAGCTCTCAGCTATCAGTTTTCAATCTCTAAGTGGAACCCTTCATCGAACTCTAAAGAGTTCTTCACTGAGGACGGGGTGGTGGTATGAGTTCTTGGTCTGCCCTTTCATTTGTGGAAACAGGAAGTGGCCGCATCCATTGCACTGTTATGTGGTGGTAATCTTGTCAGAGCCTTTTGGGGGGACCTTTGATCAGCAGCTCTTCTATTGAACGGAGTGAAACCAGAAGACATACCCAGAAAAGTGGAGATAAATGTGGAAGGTTGCTTCTACTCAGTTTGGCTGGCCTCCTCCATAGAAGCTACACTGTGGAGGGAGGCTCGCAAGGAAGGGGAGGAGAAGGTAGAAGAAGAGGCCCTATGTGGAACAAGGAGATTGGTAATATCAAAGGTCGATCAGTCTTTCACCTATTTGGGTAAGCAAAAACTGGAAACTTTAAGAGAAGGGGCAGATGGGTGGTCAACTACATGGAGTGCAAGCTATCAGAAGGGAGGGTAGTAAATCTTATGCTCAGATGGTTAAAGGCGGCAAGAAGGACGTTTTAAATTCAAGTTACGAAGGAAGATTAAAGGTTTCAGACCAGGTTGAACCAAAAAAGGGTGAACTTGAGCCGGGTGTCCCAGGCACTGAGTGTTAAGTGGTAAAGCCTCACGTGCCAATGCAAGAAAGCACACGTGGGCCTCTAAAAATTGTTGGGCCTGTTAAAGAAACCAAGGGTGGGCCGTGCCCTCAACTTAAGTCGGCCCAAATCAAGCCTCACTTAAAGAGGGCACGTGACTCACTTAAGTTACACGTGTTTGGGAAGGGGGAGGCTCCAATAGATGGTAAAAACCATCTATTTTCTTCTCCTTCGAGCTCCTCCTCTCATATCCGCGCGCCAGTTGCAGGTTCGGCCACTTCGTCACTGCAATGGATTCCAACCAAGAAGGTAAACCAGTTATCCCCAGATAGGCGGAACCCCAGAAGCATAAAACGGAGGGATCTAGACTTTATTGAAGACAGTGATTACTTAGATGAAGAAGATAGTGGTGCTGAAGACTCGACTGAAACAGAGAGTTTGAGAAGTCTTGATCTGCAAGGAAACTTAGACATGCTCCAGGAAGGAAGTTTTAACACAGAATCTTTTTCTAGAAGGAAGCTCTCAAGGGGAAGATGCAGAGGTGAGGAGGACTGGAAATTCAGCTTCGGAAGCCAGGCTTATCAACCCCCCTTTCCATGAGGGAGCAACTCCAACCTCTCAGACCATAAACGGAATTAGTACAAAGTCACAAGACTCACCAATGATCTGTGAAGATAGGCTAGGAAGGAAGGAGAAGGAACAGGCTTCTCCGATGGTAAGATTGAACAAAGGTGAAATATTAACCTTAACCACTTCACTGCAACTGCTAACTAAAGGGAGTGGACGGGGCACTACCAGTAATTTCGCAGACACAAGCCTTGTTTGCTCCTATATATCCTCCTCAGCAATCAGGTATGGGTGTCCATTCGGTTTTTGCTACTGATCCGTGTGTTCGGCCTGTTGCAGAGACTCTAATATCCCACCCGGAAGGACCAGATTTGGTATCTAAAGGAAGTGGTGAAGGTGCTGGTGGAAATCATGAACTTAAGGAGAAGGAAGAGTCAGTTCCTTGTGAGGGTGTGGGAGAAGAGGTGGAGAGAATTTGGATGCTGATTTGTACGGAAGCTGAGGCAATTAGAATGAAGGAAGGTTACTTGGAAGAGAATCATCAGAAAAAGGGTTTGCCTAGTGAGGAAGGAGAGAGTGGTGAAATAGATGATGTTGAGAGGACAGAATTGAACCCTAAAACAGGAAGAAGTTATCAAGAGGTTGACCTAGAGGTGGGGAATGACAAAATTAAAACTTACCATAGGAAACCTGAGGAAGGAAAAGAGAAGAAAAAGGAGTATAAGAAGAAGAAAAGAACTGAGGTGCAAAGGCTAATATCTGACATCGAGGCTGACCTTGAGTTTAGCGGAAGGGGAGAGAGGAGGAAGAACTCTAGGTAAGGAGTCGAATTCAGGAGGGACTATTTTGCAAGTTTATCCATGAGAATTATCAGCTGGAATGTGAGAGGATTGGGAAGTGCGAGAAAAAGGAGGGTAATAAAGGATTTATTAACAAGAGAGAAGCCTGATATTGTTATGGTGCAAGAGACGAAGCTCTCTGAGCTAGACGGAAGGTGGATAAGAAGCTGTTGGAGGACTAGGGGTGTTAGTTGGTCCTTGGCTCCCTCTTGGGGAGCATCTGGAGGAATTGTCACCATCTGGAAGAATGAGGCAATGGAAGCGGTGGAGGAGTTAGTAGGTAGATACTCTGTCTCCATTAAATTCAAGAATGTGGAGGATGGATTTTGTTGGGTGCTTACTAATGTGTATGGCCCTAATACCTACAGAGAAAGGAATGAATTTTGGGAGGAATTGTACGCAATTCGAGGTTTATGGGATGGGCCTTGGTATTTTGGAGGGGATTTTAATGTCACAAGATATTCAAAGGAATCTAGTAATCTTGTACAATCAATCACAACAAGCATGAGGAAATTTAACGGATTTATAGAAGATTGTGAGCTAAAAGAAATTCCGTTAATGCAAGCTAGACTCACCTGGTCCAATTTTCAAGATAATCCTATCTATTCAAAGCTGGATAGGTTTCTATTCAATCTAGAATGGGAAAACTATTGGGGAAATCTGGTTTCTAGAGCCTTGCCTAGGGTTACATCAGACCACTACCCCATCAAGATTGGGGTGGAATCCCTA